AACCCATACGGCGTAATTAAGGGATCCCGTCTTCTGCGCCAAAACGAAAAAAAAAAACCAAAAAACCCTCGCGCCACGAGTTTTAAAACGGCGCGCGAACATCGATACTAGGACTCCCTTGTCGTCTTCTTCGGCGGGTTCGGTCCCGCCCGACCGTGGTGTCTGGGTTCACGATCCTTCGCCCATGTACTGTATATACGGTACACTGTATAGATAGCAGACTTAGTATAGGAGACGACGGAATCTATCCGTAATGCTTCGAGCCCAGCACACTAGGGACACGCGCGCGACTTTTCCATTGCCGTGGCTACTTCCGGCTTAACGTCGTGATTGATGACAGACCTCTCCTGGTGGGGAATCCTCAGACCAGATAGAGTAGAGCAGATATCCGATCTGACCCTGTAGCTGCACATCATACACGAACCCAGGTCGATAATAAGGGTTCCATATACGCTCCTCTCCCGATGACACGGTACACAGCGGGCGGCATCAGCAGCAAGTCACCTCGCGGCGCAGGGGAGTATGTATAGCTCAGCCTAGCCTAGTATATATGTAGTGCGCAGAGGTAGAAGCCATCGCCACATACGCTGCGATGTCTCCGTTTTTATGGCGACGATAGAATCGAGCGACGAACTGCCCATCCCCATACGGTGATGGAGAGAAGGCCGCGCCCCTATGAGGCGACATGAGACGACACTCGTAACGGCTGCGCGTCGATGCACCGTCGGCAATGCGGTTACGTGGCACAGCTGTGGTCAGCTCGGATCAAGGAATCCTAAGTGCTCCTCCTCGTAGGAACTTCCCGGATAAAGTGGGAATAAAAAGACCCCAAAAACGGGAATCGGGTTTATATTCAGACAGAAGGATTGGTTAGGCACGGATAGTCTACCTTTGGGGAACGCCGCTCGGCTGCGTGATCTGAAAATGGACAGGTCTGTACTTATACGGGTGTCTGCGCAGACATCCTCTTCGCTTTACTTCGGCCGCGACCACCACCACAAGGCCACTTCTATAGTACGTATGTCACCGTTGGCAGTTATCTGTAAAAGACGTACACGGCTCCTAGCCTCTTCTATTAATGGTCTGTGGCATGACGATGGCACGAGACACGTATTGAATCAACATAGTTATTATCTAATACCTGCTCTTTAGCGTACACGGGCATTCACCGTCTCACCCGACTGCTAGTGCTGAAGACACGGCGGCACTATGGTAAACACCTAGATACACAACATAGCCGCTATCCACAAGAACCGGTGAGAAGTATTAGGTAGAAGGTAACACACAAATGGGTCCATTGAACGGGTGAGATGAGCATGTAAGACTGGCGCCCGGCATTTAAATTGAAGACAGATGTTATTGGCAATAGACCACTTTCTCTTTATGCTGTGCTCTAGGCCATAGGCCATACGTCGTTCAATATACAAGTTAGATGTACAATACACCCGAGACTTCGTGCAGGTTGCCGAGCGCCATTGGTGAGCTTTGATAAGGTATAAGATAATGGACACACATATATATACAAATACATATATATATATATATATATATATATGTATCTATAACTGTATGGATACGGCTGACGGTGGTGGGTACATAGACCTCCAGGTTTAGCAACGAACTTCGATTCTCGTTTGCTGTGTGATAGTCTTCATCTGTTGTGTCGAATCATCCCAGGCCGGACGAGTGGAGAGTGATGTTCTTCCGGCTGTAGTGTAATATAGTATATATATTACGCATATGCGAATGATACGCGACATATCGCATCGAACCAAAAGATACGTGGAATTAGTTGTGTGAAATGTCATACAAATTACGATCTATAGAGGTATAAAACATATGCTGTTCTTCGTGACGCATGCCATGGGATATAACGCAACGCTATGGTATCATTATCATTAAATTGTTCCTTGACCCATCCTTGCCCTCTCCTTCCTCATCATATTAATCCGCTTCGGGCGGGCCCTTCGTGTATCAAATTATCACGCTTCATTAGTGAAAGGGATCGGCCGTCGCAGAGGGTGGGCTTCGGTATTAAGGACGAACTCGTCCAGGTGTATAAGGTCTGGCGACGAAAATATTAAGTAGAAATACCGCAGAGTCTCGGCCAGCCAGAAACTCTACGCGGGGGTTAGTAAGTCGAATATCATAAGTGACATATGCATGTCGAGGAAGAATTCCATCTACTGACCTCCATTGAATCAGCTTTCACAGTATCAGGTACCCTGACAGACTGAATCGCCGAAAACGCTAGGTCGGTCTCGGTCGCGTTGCGAATCGCCAGGAACATCTTCCATGCCATCTCCTGATAATCGGTGTTCCCCGTCATCCGGTACATGAGGAAGACGCTCTCGATAGCCTCGGGCCTAAGGAGATAACGTGGGTCTGGTATGTCCTTGAAGCCGGGCTTCAAACTTGTGTCGCCGACGATCTCCCACTCTTCCTGGTTCCATTTGCACGGCTCTAGGCTCTCGCACTTGAGCAGGTCAAACGTCTCGGGCATGATGCCAGCCGCCATGGCGTCATATGCCCACACACAGCCTTTCGTGAGCCTTTCGCCGATTGCGACGTGCTCCGGGATCTGAAAGAGTTTGCCACCCAACCCGAACATGCCGCCGGCGAAGCATGCGAGATGTTGGGATTGAGCCGTTAGGCTCGGTTCTTGATCCGTGACCCAGACGTTGCCTGGAAACAAAATGTCTGCTTGGTCGGGCAGCTTAGGCCGAAACAATATGTTCTCGATGATAGTATCGGTCGCTCCACGGTACAGTTTCTCGTACACTGGTTCGAGGCCACCGAGTAGAGCAAAGGTCTTGGGAAGATACTCGTAAAGACTATCGGCAAGGGCGCTTATTGTGAAACTGTTATCGGAATTCAAGTCCATGTCTCGCAAGTTGAAATAAGTAGGCCACATTCCAGGGAGATCTGTCCTGTTCTGCCAGTTGTCTAATACTTGTGTCACTCTATTAATGGCGTCATAGTATTTGGTATTACCAGTAAGCTGTGTTAAGCGGGAGAATTCGAGGGACGACGAAGTGACGGCAGCTGACGGGTCGCGGGTTCCAGCAAACTGTTGCCCCGTTTTGGCCTCTTGGAAGTCCAGCCAGAAGCCGGGCATGCGATTCGGGGTATCGTATGCCATATAGAGCATGTCACCAAGCTCGACGGCCTTTTCCAGCAGTGCCGTCTCCTTGCTCAAGTCGTAGGCGCCGAGCAAGCCGCCGAGGTGCCGTATGGTGGTTTCGAAGTAGTTGCATGAGGTGTCCTGCGTTTTGGAGTAGTCTGTGGTGACGGCGGCAGCAGCAGCTTCATAGAAATCGTCCTTGAGATCCATTATCCAAAGCGTCGACAGGGAATCGACGAGCGTGGCCCCCCATCCCCCAAAGCCAGGCACGTCGCGGCCCTTCCCAGACACAGGCATGAGCTCGTCATATCCGAAGCCGACGCTTTTGTAGCTCTTCCAACTCTTCACAAATGCCTCTTTCACCTCGCTGCGCCGTGTTGCCAGGACCGCCTCCCGCGCGACGCCCTCGGGGCTCTTATCCTCCTCGAAGTCGTACTGTACCGGGGGCAGCGACCGGGGCTGGCCGGTCGGCAAGGGCGTGTATTCGGACACGGGATAGAAGAGCTTCTGTTTGGACCAGTCGTAGCTCTGGTGGACGTAGGTGAAGCCCCAGAGGACGTCGCGTTTTTCGGGAACGAGACCGACGAGCAGATACAATAGTGCAACCAGTCCTAGCGCGACAGCGATGCGCGACTTGCGACGGAGGACGGGGGTCATAACATCGAGTGGGTGGTCTCGAATCTGCCATGCGACATCTTCGGCAAGCATCGAGTTGGCCGGGGCCGGTCGCGGAATCCTCGGGAAGATGTTCTCGTTCCTGTTGCTGTTCCTGTTCCCGTTCCCGTTCCTGTTCCTATGCCTGTGCCGGTTCCTCCCACAATGCCGTATCGGATACTTGGAGATGAATGTTGCCGGTGCATCGATGCGGGATATTACTATTGTGATGTTATGGGCGTGGTGGATAAAAGTCGCACTCCCACGCTGCGACGGTGCTCTTGTGGAACACGGCACGTTTCGATAGTGCCAGTTTCGATAATGCCAAGAAAGATAACTCGGTATGGACAAGCTGGTTGGGTGGCCAAGACATGATAGACAGGGAGAGCCATGGCGGGCACTTGCAGTGACAGCGCTAGCGCATCGCCGGTAGTTAGGTAGATACCTCTATATGTACCCAGGTCTACACACCACAACTGGTTCAACCCTCACAATATCATGTCTTTGTGAAAAAATACATACCAGGTATACCAAAGACATACGCATAAAATTTATATCGGTCTCATATCCCGTATTTTTATATGCCATTCTTCGCTCGCTATATAGGTTCTTGTACATAGAGGGTCCATAAATACTGTACCTTGGTAACGCCACGTTGTAGCTCTATCTCTAGTTGTTCTGGGGAATATACGGGGTTTATTACCAACCCCTGCGGATCACGGATAGATCGGTACGAGATTAACTCTGCACCAAGCTGTTGTTCTCTTGCAGGTGTTCATTCTAAACTGAAGAATCTAAAGTAATGTACGTTCTCACAATGATATCTACCTATATATAAAACCGATTGATGATAAACTTATGGAGATAATTAAAGACCAAAGGAATGACCATACAGGCAATGGCAGAACTGGATAAAGGTGCTCTCAGGCTTAATAATTAGAAAGCTTTACTAAACCGCCCTACTAAATTCAAAAAAGTAAGTGAAGCTGAAAAGACTAGACCCCTTAAAACTCTATAAAAGTAGGATAGCTCTAAAGCTATTAGCCTAGATAAAATATCTACCTATACTAAAATTGAAATGCAAACCATTTTAATTTTCATTGTATCAAAAAGAAAGCACCTACCTAATCTTAAGATACAGCAAAGCTTTCTATTTTAGGAACAACTAGCTCAGCACTACAGAGTCTATCAGCTAACTTTTAAGCTCCGATTGTTAATAGCTGGGCGAATGGTCTAGGGGTATGATACTCCCTTCGCATTTCTAAGATTGTTAAAATTGTGTGTTTGGGAGGGGTCCGGGGTTCAATTCCCCGTTCGTCCATACATTTTGCTCTCATTCATTGAGATACGTCGCTTTTTGTGCCCTAGTTATTTCGGCTCAAATAAATAATGCGTGTTGCAGTTCGGAATCTGAGAGGGGTAGGGTATGTAGGTAGCTAGCTGTTCGAAAACGAATTTTTGCTTACTAGGTTAAGTATACATACATACATCCCCCAATGCACTAAATAGTTATTGAGCTCATGTTGATCGATCCTGGATTGTTGGTACTGCTTAGACTTGACTAGGCTTTTTAGATAATCTATAAAGCTACTATGTACATAAATCAACTCGCTACCTCCTACCTATGAACTCCACAGGAGATGGATAGGTCTGAAATTAATCGGCCTTTAGTTGTACTTTGACTCGGTAGGCAAATAAGCGGCATTCTAAGAAGAGAATAAAGGATCCAGGCATCAAAATCTGTCTCGCTTTACGGTTGGCGTTGGAGTTGGGTTGCTTTGTGGGAGATTGCGCGTGCTCGTATCAAAAACAGTTAGAAGATTTCAAATCACCATAGGTGATGATACGAGTTATACCACCTGGGAATATGAGCAAAGTATATCAGACCTTTGCGCATCTGATGTCATCGCCGTAGGCCGAACCGTTTTAATTTATCCAGACCCTGCTTCCATGGGCTCATATGTTCCTCCTCGCTCTCGGCATTCTCCAGAACCCACTGCACGGCGGCGACGACATCATCCCGGCGGTCTCGAATAACATGGTGTCCGCAATCAGGTAGATGTACGAAGTGGCTGTTCTTCGAGAGACCGAGCTGTCTGCGCTTGAGTCGCTCGTCTTCAGCGTCCATACGCAGCAGCATTTCCCTCTTGGCCGCCAGCATCTGTCTCCGTGCTGCGATATCTCCGGTTTCAGCTTGAGAAGAGTTCATAGCTCCTTCTCTATCCTCTAGTGCCTTCCATTTCGCAATAAGACTGTTTCCCCTGATCACGCATACGGGGCGACTCCCCAGGATCGTGCGGCTGATCTGCAGCTCGTCGAGCGCCGGGTCAAGCCCGCCTTCTTGTCCCGTCTCGGCAAGCACGAGACCTAGCACTTGGTTCGCAGAACCTTTCTCGTACCGCGGCTTTGAGAGCAGATGTTCATGTTGTATGAACGCGCGCGCGAAGGCACCGCCATAGGAGTGCGCGATGAGGAGATAGGGCCCGTCCAGCTTCTGCTCGTCATGTCTGCTAGTTTCATCTTCGGTCTTATGGGCCCCATGGACATAATCCCACATCTGCGCGGCGACGTCCGCAGCCCGCAAGTTCCCTGGTCCACGATCATAGAGCAATACACGGCAGTGCGTCTTTGCCACGAGCTTGGTGGCAAGGTCATCCCAAGTCGGTGAACATGTCTCACCCGAGCCGTGGAAGCAAATGATTAGTGGGCTTCTGGCCCCTTCACCAGGGCCATCGTTGGCCGCAGCAGATACATTGTTGGGCAGCAAAAGTCTAGCTGCGGAGTCCTGGGCTGTGGGATAATCCTGGGACAACAAGGGTACAGAGTTGGCCATGGCTCAGCGGCCTGGCCCATCCTTTCGGACTATGGATAGACGGTACTATGTATTGTCTTATTGAACTGTGACGTGTGAAATGCCACAGGTCTCTATTGTTGCGTATGGATTATTGGTATCAAGGCAAATGGAATAAGCTTGGCGCATGGCGGGCAAGGAGATTGATTACGTTTAGGGGCAACAGGATACCGGAATGGTCACTAAGTACTTAAGCATTTAGTTCAAGGACGTCAAACAAGCCGTAGTCACTTATAGCTTACATAATCCGCAGAGCCCTCTTTGAGGCTTGTAAAACACTTTGCGCATAATTATTAATCGTTTTGATGTTCCAAAGGCTTAAATTAAAGACGCTAAGTGCTATTGTCTACTTATACGAAGATGCGTGAACCTTTAAGGCTTACATCAACAATCCGAGTGCATACCCAAAGTCGATCGATTATCGATTTCTTTCTAAAAATAGTCTGTAAAGTAGAATCCACGCCTCGCAGCTGTTCTTGAATCCTCGTGAAGCCGACTCCACCTCAAGCATTGGCAGCTGCGTCATGTGCAGCAATACCCCCAGCTCCAGGTCAAACACCTGCCGGACCTCGACCGTCGGCTGCGGACTCATGAGCAACAACTTGAACTCCGCTCCCACGAGCTTGTGCTGCGGTGCAAGGACAACTTCATCCATGGTATGCAGATACTCCTCACTAGTAGCTACCGAACCAGGTACACAAACACCCTTCTTTCAAGTTCCTGCATCGTCACCCTTGGATTAGATTCAATGCCCGCCGTAGGAAACTGCCTCGGCAGCTGCGCAATGAGCGATCGTATCATAGCCCCGTCACACGCCAGTTCGCCGTGCACGAGCAGCTTGGCGGAGCTAGGACTGACGATCCAGGAGCGGAAGTGCGGCGTGGCAACGGCCTGCTCGGCGCGATCGCGGTCTTTGAGGATGGCCTGCGTTATGGAGTACATGATGGAGATCCGCCTCGTCGAATTTGGGGACGTGGAAACGCGACCACAGCTCTCGCGGTGTCCAGGACGGAGGTAGGAGACCGGGGCGGTAAGTCAGTTTGCTGCGGAGGATAGCAAGGATGTTGAGAACAGGGACTGGTTGAAGGGATATTGGGGAGAACTGACGAGACTCACACCCCTGGTCGCCCGGAAAACCTAATAGTTGGTTTAGTAGACTGTCTATCTAGATTCTTTCAACCTGCCCGGCCAGACAGTTCCAGCAGGGACAAGGACACGGACCGAACCTTGAGAAACGAAGCCCTCTACAATGACAATACTACCGGGGGAAACTGCTGCAAGACAGCTTCGACGATGCGCAACGTGGAGGAGGAGGAGGAGGCGTACAGAACTACGCGATTCCCAGGGCGGACTCCGCTTCACAAACTAGTCTTAGAATAAACTAGGAAAAGACCTCTAAGGGGGGGTTGTTTTTTAATACTTTTAGAATAGGGCATATCGTTTTTAGAATACACATAATCGAACAAGTAACGAGAAGACTATCAACTGAGGTATTCTTGACGGTGATCACATAAATTAGGCTCGTTGTAGCTTAGGTTAGGCGTTTAAAACGTCTCTCTCGATGCCAAACACCAACAACTAACAACAACTAATTACTGCATCCCCGATCATCGAGCCCACGGTTACACGGTGTTTCAGCCAAAAGACAAAACCGAGTCTACAACTCTTCCCATAGTGTAGTCACCCACCTGTTTCGGGCTTGTATTCTGTAAACAGTAGCGGATCAACAGATCTTATATGAATCTGTCACGAACCTAGTATACGGCAGGTATAGACTCTTGTTGTTGCACGAGGAATCTCAAGACTACGTGAGGCTAACCTAGATACATATACAGGAGTCCCTTTGTCTCCATGCCTTGTGACAGTATCGTTTATGTTTCCAGAGATGTAGTTACATGGGGTGACGGTTACGACTGTCTTGCAGCCGCGGTAGGGCCGTATTGATGAACTGGCAGTCCTGTTATTGCGGTCCTCGCAGGAAGGCTACAGAGTCACGGACCGAGGATTTAGGTAACTATACAATTTTATCGTAACCTTCTTAAGAATAAAGGCGAAATATATAATGAGTCTCTACAGCGGCTTAAGTTTTCTCAGCTAGTAGCGACATTCAGATCCTCACTGTCAACACCTCATTAGCAGCTCTTTGCGAAGTCCTTTCGCATTGCACAACAGACCTGTATTATTGACAATAATACGCCATGCTCCTCAGATATGTCTATATCAGCATTAGAACACCAACCACATCATGGGGAATCTAACTCGTCGCCAGAACCCTCCGGTAAGCTGACACAACCGTTCGAATCTCATGCTCCTAAGCAACTTCTAACGGTTATTACAGGTCCTAGGCGCAAGGATATAGCGCCACTGTTTTATCTCTCTATTGCCATGTGGCTCGGTACTTTAGTTATTGGCAGTGGATATCCCCATCAGGCCGTCGGCTCAACACACAGGCTCCCCAATCGGCAGTCGTTCTCGCGTCGAGCTGTTTCGTCAACGACGGGGTCTATATCGTCCGAACCAGTTCGAACCACTCAAGTCGTACATGTATACAAATCAGGGTCGGATACGGCGGTAAGAAGCCTCACACTCTATATGCCGAGCATAAACTAACACTGCTACCTAGGGACATGGGTGAAGACTGTCAATGTGTCTGCCCGCGTGAGTACTTCCAAAAGCCATTCTCTTCCTGCCTTTGGAGCTTTTCGAGCATAAGACTTCTTCTTGCGGCCAAAAGAGAGAGCGCCGAGAAGCTTCCGGAACCCTTAGAATCATGCTGCGGATGGGGATAGCTGACTCTAAGTATTGCAGTGAACTCGCGATGAAAGCGAGTCCCTCATAGCCCAGTTCAAAAAAGATGGACTGGACTGCTACCAGAACACCAGCACCACAGAAGCAGGAACAGGAACAAACCCAACCGCCGGCGGCACAACCGGGATCCTCTCCAGCGACGTTATACACGTCCCTAGACGGCAATATCGCATCCGTCAACATGGCGACATAGAAGTCCTCTTCAGCATGCCCGACCGCCTACAACACCACGTTGTCCCCTTCGGCAAATACATTACCTTCTTCGCGCTCTTCGAGCTAAGTATCTTAGTCCTCGACTACAACGCGGTGGCGGCGGATATCTACGTAGCCGAGGGCGAGACGCTGCAGGCGTTGCAATGAGCGATGGTGTCCGCGTGCGCGGTGGCGCAGGCATGCGTGGCCAGCGTGTTCGTGCAGCGACGCGTGGCGGGCGACGATGACGTCGAGGTAGACAATAGTGATATTGATGCTGTAGCAGTAATCGAGCGTCTAGTTTGACAAGGGCACAGTAGTGCTATACTCAATTCCCTCCTTAATCAGTAGTGTACCTACCTGCCCACCGAGGTCTCGTTCCTCCTCCCCGTCGTCGACCTTTCTCTCCCCGAGATGCGCTGCTGTTTTTCAAAAGCGGCGGAACGGAACGGACGGCATATGCCGTGTTG